AACATCCGCCAAAATTTTAATTCATATGGCACATACGTGGGAACGGCCAGAACTTTCCTTACAACCTAATATTTCAGTTACTAGACGGGAGTTACAGTATTCCTCGAAGTCGACATCAAAATTTTCGTTGAGTTGGCAACCCCTTTTCGGGTCACCAACTACCAGTCTCACATGGTACGCAATTGAGCAGACATTAGGATCATTGGGAATCCGTGCAATTTCGTAGAAAAAAAGTTGATTCATTGTGATGTGATTTCAGATAACAGTTATATGCATTTGCTTCTCTTGTCACTCTTCAGTCACTGACAATCAATATATCACCTCCATTTGAACGCATCTGGGAGTTCTCAATCGCTTGTCTCATCTCGATAGCTACTATCACGCTTTCGAGCGCGACGTTGTCGACAGTTCTTGAACATTCCCTCCCTAATACGAGCAACAGCTAGCGCCTGACATCAATCATCCCAGCAAGCGAAAACTGTGAAAACTGACCTTGAGATCCAATAGGCTGTTGCGGATAGAAACACGGCCACGTGGTTCATCTTCGGTTTGTGTTTGCGGTGCTTAGCTGTGCGCTACCTTGCTTCAACCTTCACAGGTGGTGGCACAAATGTGTTTTGATTGTGAATTTCGCAGGTATTTTTGAAAGCCTCCTCACATAGGTAATTGATTTCCTCTGATGTGCAGAATGAAACCCTCAAAGATGCTCATCTTTACTTCCAACAACTCTTGCTCTAATTACTTTGAGGACTTTACATAATTGGGTGTAACTATCATGAATCTTGCTCCCCCTTCTCACGACCAAGAGATTCCTTGTGAGGCAAAGGATTCTGGGAAATGCTGGGAAAGTTAGCAGTATGCTTGAACTTAGCTAACCAGGGCTGTAGCCTCCTACCACTCACTTTCCGAGCTATGCTACCATCTACGGACGATTACTTTTAACTCTGGTAACGTGCTTCTATGAAATGACCTAATATTTGAATGTCAGGTCGAGGTGATACCGCGATCCCT